CCACAGACTGTCTGTTGCTGTTTTGTAGTCAAAATATTTGACAGTTATTTGTTAAATGTAAATTGGCACCATTTTGACCAACCGGAAATGTGCTGTGGACAATGGCTCTTTTTCGATTTTTTCCATTAATCAGCTTTACTACTGATATGAATTTGCTCAAACTTTTCTGTTTATTACTTCGCGCTAATGACTACAAGATAGCAATTGAAAAAATCGGCAATTTTGACTTTTGTCGCTGACTTTTTTAGCTCCAATTTTAGAGTTTTTTAACCTTTTTTCTAACTTCTACAATTCTATTTCGATCAATCTGAAAACTTACATAGAGATAGACACTTTTATTGCGAACAAAACCTAATTTTCTAAATTTTGATATCACTTTCGGTTTTGACGCTATTCGCTTCTAAAATATAAAATTCAACTTCCGGAATTTTGAAGATATTTCAAAAATTATTTTTGCAATATGTTACAAATAGCCATACAAAAAACTTCAAATCAAAAAATCCGACCCGGGTGTAACAGAGTAGCCGCCAAATTGATATGTCAAACTTCTGTAAAATTCAAAATGGGGCCTCAGGGTATAGAGCGCTTTTCATAATTTTGGTATATCTGGATATCACAATCGATTGCGAAAAGAAATTTGGAAGCCGATTTTTGAATTTCGATTTTGCTTTTCTTTTATTTCCGGTTAACATTTTTCGGTAATGTCCAAAATTTCAAAGGCTCCTATTTCGTGACCTGGAACTTTGGTGACATTGTGGCCTGAACAAAATTTGTTGCCCTTGATGATATCTATCTAGTGATATACTCATTTGTGCTGTGCAATGTTTACTTCCGGTTTTATAGCCGATTGAAATTTACGATTTTTAGCTTCAAAGAGCTCTGACACGTGACCTAATTTACATACACCAAAAATTCATATTGAATCTTACTAGTGTTCATCTGCCCTTTGTAATGATATATAACACTAGATATTTCAATCAAAATTGCGCTTTTTAATATTTGAAGATTTTGTACTTTCCTCTATGGTAACTGTGCGTAATTTTCAATAAATCGAAATGGGGCCTCAGGGTGTAATTCAATTTGTGTAAATTTGATATCTATGGTATCTACTATCGATTGCTAAATAATATTTGAGAACCGATCTTTGAATTTTGATTTCGCTTTTTATTTATTTCCGGTTGAAAAATATGAATACTTTAAAGGGTCGTATATCGTGACCTTGACCTTTGGTGATCATGTGACCAGAACAATTTTGATAGCTCTCGACGAGATCTTTCCAATGGTATATTAAAGTTTATTGTACGGTGTTTACTTCCGATTTTATCGCCATTTGAAATTGATGAATTCTATCTTGAAAAAGTCGATTTTCCGCTTGTAAGATTTTTTGTGGTCTAAACGATAAAGGTAGTTTGCTCCCTTCAACTGTTGTTGAATACAATGTGAGTTGAAGCGATCTGTCGAATATGCTTTGCGTTTGGTCGATCTATATCCAGTTAATTATGATAGAAAATTATGTTTCTGTTACGATACTTTGCGGCACAGTTTTAAGCGTAAAATCAAAACTGTTACGCACTGCATCAGAACCTCGCGAAGCCTGTGGATCTATTTTTTTTTTCGAATTTTGGTCAGAGCGCCCAGCCAAAACTATACATGCCACATAAATACTGTTAACATTTCTCCCGTTAATGCTTCGAGACTAAATCTGATGAATGTATTTTCATGCATTTTTTTCCAACCGGCAATGACGTAGGGCAAAATCCATTTTTTTACGTTTTTGCTAATTTACGGCTCCAATTTTGATCGGATTTTGATCGATCTTTTTTTGTTAATAAGTTCGCGCTAACGGCTATAAGATAGCAATTAAAAAATTCTAAAATTTAAACTTTTGTCGCTGACTTTTTTAGTTTCAATCTTTGAGGTTTTTCACTTTTTTTCTAACTTCTACAATTTTATTTTAATCGATATGAAAACATACAGATAGTTAAACATTTTGATTGCGATCTAAAATCATTTTTCAAAGTTTCGATATCACTTCCGGTTTTGACGTTATTCGCTCGTAAAGTTGAAATTTAAACTTCCGGAATTTTGCAGATATTTGAAAAATATTTGTGCAATTAGTTAGAGTAGTCCCCATAAAGATGTTGGAATGAATAAATTTGACCCGGAAGTATAAGGTCAGACGAAGTGTGTGTGTGATTTTAGTGTCTATAGAATCTGCAATCGATTGCTAAGAAAATTTTGGAAGCCGATTTTTGAATTTTGGTTTTGCTTTTTTTTAATTTCCGGGTTTATTTTTTCAGTAATTGTCAAAACTGTTAAGGCATATATATAGTTACCTTGACCTTTGGTGACCTTGTGACCTTGCACAAATGTTGTGGCCCCTAACAAGATCTATCTAAAAATATATGTACTTTTGTCAAGCGATGTTTACTTCCGGTTCTAGAGCAATTTGAAAATCGAATTTTTTTTCTTTAAAGAACTCTGCCACGTGACCTAATTATAATACGACAAAATTTATTTCATTTGCTTAATGTGTGCGATTTCTTCTTTCTGAGGATATAACACACTTGATATATTGATCAATATTGCGCTTTTTAAAGTTTTAAAATTTTACACTGACGTCTATAGTAACTGTGCGTAATTTGGTTTTTGGCGTATAAACTCATACTTTTAACTTATAACAACGAATATATCATGATCTGATAATTGTACATGCTTGAAATTTTGAACATTATTTAACATTGTACACATGATAGTAGACAGAGCAAAATTTTGGGGGTGGGCGTGGCATATCCGGGTAAGATTTACATATATATTATATATTTGTAATTTATCATAACTTGCAAAGTATACATTTTTCACCAATAATATTTTGCAGAAAAATAGGTCACTAGTTTGGCCAATATCGTAAGAAGATCTGTTTGGGCTTTTTACTTTTAAAAAAGGAATGAGTTTTACAATTGACTAAATTTTTTACCTTCATCTTTGATGACCTTGACCTTTTCAAGGTCAAAAATCATTGATCTATAATGTCAATTCATGTGTTGATCTATGATGTTCGACACCTATTTCCGGTTTTTTAGGCTTCCAAAAACAGCAATTCTCAAAACTTGTAACCCTCATATCTCATGACCTCGACATGTGGTTACTATGTCGCCTGACCAAAAGTCATAGCCCTTGACAACATCTATCACATGGTGTCTTTGATTTTTTTGTACGATGTTTACATCCGTTTTTTATAGCCATTTGAATATCACAAATAGGACAATAACACAAACCGAGTGCCAGGAATTTTCTTAAATGGTTGGAACATGGATTCCTATATTTCAAAATTTCTAAATATTGAAGAAACTAATCCAATTCCACACAAAAAAATCAATTCTACAAAAGTAATTTTTATTTTTTTAAAAAAAGAAATTTAAAAATGTGTTAGAATTGTATCCTTGACCAGTGAAAAGTTTTGAAAGAAACATAAGGGGTATATATTCTTGTAATTTACAACACAATATTAGAAGGAAAATCTGTGAAAATACTTTGGTTTCATGAAACCTTTCTAACAGGTAAAATGAAATATAATATCATTCTACCAGGATGCAACGCACTGCTTCAGCGCCGTTGCACTTACGGCTTTAGTTTTTTTTTCGAATTCTGGTCACGTCACCAAAAGTGCACATATCACAGGTTTACCATTCCTCGACACTTGAAAAAGGATAATATTTCGAAAATCGGTTCGTGTCAATTGCGTAAGTTTTTGTTGTACTTGTTATAAGTTTTCACATCATTGTTAGCGTTATTTATCACCTAAATATATATTTTTGCATTCATCATAACTTTCATCTTACTTTATATACCTCCAAACCCAGTTTGACTTATTTGCATAATTTGATCCCCAAATTTTCACGCTAGCATATACAGTTTCCTCCTGTTACATCCGCTGTACATTTCCTTTCTAACCTCAAGTTAATTTCATTATGCTCCCCAACTACAACAACCACTGGCAAGAAGCCAGACATAGAAACACTAATCGTCAACCAAACCAATATAACGTACCCTACAACGGCCCTGTCTTCCATCGACCTCTACCACCTACCAATCGCCGACCACCAACCAACCCTTTGTGAAGGTGTTCTTCCAAGTTTTGCAGTGCCTCCATCATTTGGCAACCCTTACCCTTCAACAGCAAGGCCAACCAGCGTTTACCTTCAAACGCAAAGTCTCTGAGTTGGATAGTTTTATCCGTCCAGCAATGAAAACATCAGCTGTTGACGCGAATATTAGATCCCTCAATCGGACATGGCTCTCTAAGGTTACGCTGGTCCTGATCGACCATTACCAAACCACATTTCAAGAGAAGCTGACCACCATTCGTACCAAGTCTTTATCATCACCTGCCGTCGACCGCATCGTTTCTCATGCCCTGTCCTGGACCCGTCGCTCCTATGGGAAACGTCTCATTCAAGCTGTAATCACCAAGTTCTACCAAACAATCAACGAAACAAAAACCAGAGTAACCATATCTCTACCAACTGAAATGGACACTACACCTGCACCATCTAGAGCCACCACGCTGCCGAACCAAACCCCTAAACGAGCCCGAAGTTCACCTACACCTAGTCCAGCAGACATAGGTAAACACTCTCGTAGAGAGGGCACTCCCCTTCTCTTTTCACTTTCAGACTCGTTTTCCCCTTCCACACCATCTGAATCTTCACCACGTGATCCAGGATCCGCCAACCTTTCTTCCTTCTGTGCGTTTTTGGACCAGCAAACCACCCCTCAGTCTCCATCCAAGTCGAGACGTGTATCCAGACCTTCCAATTATTCTTCATGTAGGCCTCAACAACCGTGATCAGCTACCAAAGACCTCCTTTATCCAAGCCCAGAAATTAATCGCCACAGCCAACAAAACCTTCCCAAACTCCAAGATCCTCTTCACATGTATACCCATTTCAAATAAAATCTCGAAGAAAGCACAACAGAACCTCAACACTCTCAACAACATGATGATAGAGTCCAGTATCAACAGCGCAACAATCTTACCACCCTACGAAGAAGAATTCGAACCAGTTGATAATCTTCATTGGTACAGTAAACAGCATTTATTTGTTTTGGATACACCAGCTTCAAGCATCGAGTAAGTCTTTAAACTAATTACTGGGGATAAAAATACTGAGAGGCCACCGCTAGGCCAAACTGTAGTTAACTTGAGCCGCAAAATTCTTACACCCCTTCAGCATTCAATCTTAGACCGTGGACTTAAATTTATTCCCACACCAAAGATAGCTAACTTGAATTATGTCCGACCATCCATTGAACGATTTCAACGAAATCTTAGCTGCACATATATTTTTTTCGAAACCACCCCCCACGTGGTGCTAGAAAAATGTTTATTCCTAAATCCACGTTGACACCCCCTCAGGCCGCCATCCATCCTGAAATATTGAAAGCATTTGCGAGTATGAATAGCCAAACAGTGAACCTTTCCATAACACACGAAAAGCCTAATCTCACACGAGTGGAACGTGAAGCGTTAAACTTACTTAAGAAAGACGATAGCATTGTTATTAAAAAGAGTGACAAAGGTTCATGTTGTGTCATTCTGAATAGGGAGGATTACGTTTCAGAAGCAGAAAATCAACTGAATAATCCTAAACATTATGCCATTTTACCGAAACCAATTTTCAAAGAAACTGCTAACATGATTAACAATATTCTTGCCGATTTAGTCAAAACTAGTTATCTCAAACAGAAACAATATGACTATATGTCTGCCAAACCTGATTGTCGCGAGAGACATTTGTACACTTTGCCTCAAATCCATAAGAATTCAACCAAGGAGTGGTTTATCTCGAATAAAATCCCTAAAGGCCGCCCGATTATATCTGACTGTGGTAGTGAGTCATATGCAGTGTCAGAATACATTGATCATTTCTTACTACCTCTAGCATGTCAACATCGAGCCTACCTTAAAGACACAACCGATTTTGTCAATAAAATCAAAAATCTTCGAGTTCCCTCTAATGCTATTTTAATTTCTATGGACGTTTCTTCTATGTATACCAATATCGATAACACTACTGGTCTAACGGCAGTTCGTAAAGCTTTTAATAGAAACCCAGATCCAAACAGACCCGACGATGCAATTCTACAGCTTTTAGAGATTTGTCTTAGTCGAAACGATTTCACATTTAATGGTAAAACATATTTACAAACTTCAGGGACAGCAATGGGCAAACGATTCGCCCCTTCGTACGCAAACCTTTTCATGGCAGAGTGGGAACGTGAGGTGTTGCCCCTCTGTCCATTTGACCCACTTTTTTACGGACGCTTTTTGGATGACATTTTTATGGTTTGGACTTATTCTATCGAACAGTTTTGGGAATTCTTTGAAATTCTCAACAACCACCATCCTTCTATCAAACTAACCACAAACGAGAGTGACAAAAACATAGACTTTCTCGATACCACAGTCTTTAAGGGAGATTCCATAGCAGAAACAAATAAACTGGATATTCAAGTGTATTTCAAGGAAACTGATACTCATCAACTCTTGCACAAGAGCTCCTTTCACCCAAAACATACCTTTTCTGGTATAATTAAGTCACAAGTTTTACGATTTCATCGAATTTGTACAAGATCTTCTGATTTCAACCAAGCCTGTACGATGGTTTTCTCAAAACTGAAAGAGCGTGGGTACTCTAAACGATTTTTACGAAACATGAAAAATTCCACCTTAGCACAGATAGCAGCTAAAAACAGACTTTATGACGAAGTACCTCCATGTTTAAGAAGTGCTCCATGTTTGTCCAGTAGATGCAAAACATGTCCCTTTATATCAGAAACTCATTATTTTGTAAGCAACTCTACGAATAAAAGGTACCCGATCCAGGAACATCTAACATGTGAACATTCGAATGTAATATATTTAATTTCATGCAAGAAATGCCCCAAACAATATGTAGGAGAAACTAAGAATAATTTACGAACTCGCTTTAATGCTCATAGGTCAGACATCAAATTAAAGAAAGACAAGCCTATTTCTAATCATTTCAACCTCGACGACCATTCAATAGACGATCTCGCCCTAATCCCAAATGAGCGTATAGAAATTGACTTGCCCGAAGATGAAACTACCAAATTCCGTCAATCTAGGGAAGCCCATTGGATTGAGACATTGAATACAGCAAGACCTATAGGACTAAATATTCATCATAATGTAGGCATAGCACCCTTTGTTGTCCCGTTTAATACAACCAGCAATCGAGCAAGCAAGATAGTTCATGCCCACTATAAGAGCCTTCAAGAGAAATTCCCCCATGTCTATAAGCAGAAAATGATAGTTGCATATTCAAAAAATAAGAACTTAAATGATAATATTGTTCATAGTAAACTAAAAACAATCAGTACATAACAGATACTATACTTCTCGCCCATCGGGCGAGTTATTTTTTCTAATTTCAGATCAGAATAAGAACAGAAGAAAACCCAATATCAAAACCCTTAATCCTGATTTCTAAATAAAGTGTCTGCTCCACCCTAGGCCTGTACATTTGGGAGAATCAAACCCTCCCTTCCCCGAAATCCATTATCTCTTATATCTAGCGTGTCGCTATTGTTTAAATGTAAAATGACGCATCTTAGCACAACCGGAAATGACGTAGGACGTTAACCGTTCATTACGTCTTTCTAATACCTGCTCTAATTCTTAATCTATTTTGATCATAATTTTTGTTCTGTTCATTACTTTGAACTAATGTCTAAAAGATAGCAATTAAAGAAATTTCAAATTTTGACTTTTGGAGATTTTATTTAGAGCCTTTTTCAAACTTCCACAATTGTTTTGCGATCGCTCTGAAAATTTACATTTAGATAGACATTTTGATTGCGAACAAAAATCAGCTTTCAAAATTTAGATATCACTTCCGGTTGCCCATTACGAGATATATCCGATATTACCTTTAACTTAAATATTTCAAATTGTTATAAGTGTGCATCTGTCACCATCGAAATTTTACATAAAAATAAATCACTATTTTGGACAATAAGTGATAGAATTTTATTTTGTTTAGGCCTTTTACTTTTAAAAAGGGAATAGGTTTTACAATTGATAAAATTTTCATATTTTGACCATTTACATGCATGACCTTGGTTTTACCATGTCCAAGGTTATTGATCTATGATGTCCATTCATACTTTTATCTTTGATGACCGACATATATATATTTGAGTAGTATAGGACCTTTCAATTTGGTCGCACGGGGATTCCCCATTCCATTTCATTTCATGGGGAAAGTGCGACCAAATTGAAAGGTCCCAAAAAAGACCTAAACTCCCTACATTTCATAAATTCTTACACTAAAAAAGACCTAAACTCCCTTCATTTCATAAATTCTTACACCTATACACCCTACATTTCATAAATTCTTACACCAAAATCACCTTCAAACAATTCCTACATTCCATAAGCATATTAAAAATAACCTTATATAAAATAACATAACATCCGTTTTTTAATAGCCTCGTTTTAAGTAATGTTATTTTTAGTAACTCTTTTTTGGAAAAAAAAACAGATCACCATTTTCTACTTAATTTTTAAACCTTAAAAATGGCAAATAAAATATTACATCCAATCTTTAGATTATACGATCCGATTCGTTATTCATTTAACAAGAAAAAGAGGATTATATTATCATCTCACCGACTGTTGGTTCTAAATCCCAATTGAATGGTGGTGGTAGAATTACCTTCGAAACAAATTCATTATCGAATTGGTTGCTTCTTTCCGATGCTTATTTCAGATGCGATTTCAAAATCAAAGACGCCACTCAGAATCAAGTTCCACAAACTAATACAACGTTAGAAAACAATTTCTTTCCATCTTTATTTAGCGAGATGGTTTTGGAAGCTGGTTCAAATCCGATAGAAACCATCAAACACCCTGGGGAATTCGACCACAATGTTGAAAACAGTTTTATATCCTAAAGATTTCAATTCAGTCTCAGGTTGGATACCCGGTGTCAGCGATGGAAGTGTTTTAAAAGAACCGGTAAGAAATCTCGTAAATGATGCTGAGTGAGAGTTGTTGCTCGAGACACAATAGAAAGAGTAGCACGAGCAGCTAATCATGGATTCGAAAAACGAGTACGAGTATAATAATGTTGTTGAGAATAATAGGTGGGGTAATTACGTAAATTGGAAATTATATCCTTTATTCGGTCTGTTTGAATACAAAAAGATTTCCATAGGGTTACCAAATAAAATTCATCTACAAAGAGAAATCAACGATGATAAGATATTCTTTGAAGAGAATGCTTCAAATTCAAAATTAGAAATAACGAATCTCCAACTTTTCATACCCGTAATAACACCATCAATTGAACCAGCAAGATATTTAATGGTTGGTTTCAAGAACTTACCAGACTCTCAGACGAATGACAATAATGTCTTCAGAGTGGTAATGAACCAAACTCAAGATCCTATAATCCATAAAGTTCAAGTAAGATTAAACAACGATAATTATCCTAACCAACCTTTAACAATTAATCCAACCACAAAGGATTATAATAAATTGTATAGAAACTATAAAAACATGTGTGAATTATTTGGAAATCCACCTCAGTATGAATATGTATATTTTGCAATTAATTATCCAATCTTCTGTTTTGATCTATCAGCTCATAAAGAAGATCTTTTCAAAACAGGAGTGAACATAAATATTCTTATTGAAAAAAACACAAGGAGATGTAACCGGTTATTGTTTACTACTCGAAAAAGCAAACCATTTAATTAAAATAGCAGATAGAAGAATGATAAGAATTGAGTAAAAAATACACCCTTAAAAATGAAACCAGAAACTTTAGTTATGAAAATAATAGAAGCTGTTGAAACAGATTCCCCAACTGTAATAACTTTCAGTGGTAAAAAAAATCAACATAACTAAAAAAACTTATTGATAAATACAAATATTGTAAAGTCAGAGATGATATAGACTTAGAAAGAATTGACACAAATGTAAAAAAAAGGTGGATTTATATTTCCCCTACCTTTGATATTTGTTGGTCTTACCGCGGCGGATGCAATAGCTGGTGGTGAAGCTGCTGGAGTAAGTAGTGCCAACGAAAAGAAAGCAGCTGCAGTAACAACTGCCGAAGAACAGACACAATTTAGAAATAGAAAAGATAGCAAAGAAAGCAGCTGCTGCAATGAAAGCAGCTACTGCAAAAAAAGGTTCAGGAGTGGCACAATAAAATAATAGGAAAAAGATTTGGGGTAGAAACAATGAAAACTGTTAAACAAGGATTAAATAAATTAGTAGATAGTATTGACACAGGAGAAGTGGAAGTCAAAAATAAGGAATATTTTAAAAAAAATATAAACACTGGAGAAGGATTATTTCTTTCAAAGTATAAAGGATTAAGGATTGATTTTTGGAATAAAATAAAATAATAAAAAATGGGTAAAAAATTTAATCATTCAGAAATATTTCCTAGTAAGCCCATGCTCATGTGTATATGCGGTAGTTCCGGTTCTGGGAAAACTCATCTCACTTTTAACATGTTGACAACACCAAACCTTTTAGATTTCGATTCACTATATATCTACACAACAACACCAGAGCAATCGTATTATCAATTCCTCAAAGCTTTAGAATATTTACCAAAGAAAGATGTTCAAGACATATTTCAATATTACGAAAAAAACGAAGAAGAAGTGGAATTAAAGATATCATAGTTACCTACATTAAATCAAAGAATCCAACGGATATAGACGTTTTTCTTACGAAAAATGTTAATGATCTAAAGAGAGACCATTTCAAACGACATATTTACCACTTAATTCCTTTATGATTTAAGATATAAATCTGGAAATCAAAGATGGTAAAAATAGATTTATAGATTTTGGTAACGAGGAAATTGTTATTCAACTGCATTTAAAACAAAAAAATTAACACTCTTCATTCTCTTCTTGAATAGTAAGGTAATCGAAATCATCAAATTCATAGTTTTCATCCAAACTCAAGTCATCTTTATTACTATAAGGATACATGATTCCTTCATCGTCCGGTGCTTTTCTCTAAACGAGATTCAGATAACTTCTAAAAACTTTCTGTTGTTTATCATCATCCTTTTTCCCATGGTTTCTTAAATTCATTCGTCACATCATGTCCACTAGCTAATCGAATACAATCTTCTACAGCTATCTTATCATTAGAGTAACCCTTTAACGTTGTCTTTTCTTTTAGAATACCGTCGGAAGTTAGAATGATATTGTATTTAACTTTTGGCGCTAAATATAAACCATATATAATTCCACCATCGCCGTAATCATTCTTTCCTTTACAATAATCATTTTCGGACACCAACCCAGCTTCATTTAATTTATCCCAATTGCTAGACGAAATGTATAAACTAGAAGTATCTGTATAGTATATTTCCGGCTTATAAAATCCATCTATCACGTGAATAAAATTATTCATTATTTTTTTACTGTGAGATAATACGAATGATCCCAAATGACTAGGTGTTAGTCGTGTAGATTTAGGAGGTGTACAGTCAAATTCTTTTTCTTCTTCATTTATCTCAACGATATATTGAGTCTCTTTACTTGAGGAAAGCTTTTTGCCGTATGAATCGAAGTTGGCTTTTAAAGTTGCTTCACTCCATAAATGTCTCGATGTAGTTATATCCTTCTGAATAGATTTACCATACAATGAATTACCTAATAATTTCATACAATTACTGCCTACGATATTACCTTCTCGTTTATATTTATTTCTAAGATCTCTCAAAATTAAAATATAATCTCTATATGGTGGAGTTTTAAAATTTTCTTCGTATACTATACCATCTAATATTTTAATAATTCGTCCACCGGCTTTAACTATTTCTTGAATATCGACCGATGTTAAAACTTCTGAACAGAAACCATTTCTGAACCTGATTTTAGTGCCAGTTTCCTTATTACCATCTTTGTTCGTAAAAGTAATTTTATCTTTAGCTGGTATGGGTTGGAAGAACATCTTGGTAGGATATTCAAACCAGACTTTTAAAATAGCCGTTCTAGGTCTGAATTTCTGCTCATTAAAGAGCTTAACAAATTCTTTATTTTCTTCTTGTAGAAATAGTCTACAACTTTCCGCCCTCGGATATTCGCTATCTAAATCCGACATGGCGGAAACCGTTAGCATCAAAGGCCATTAGTTTAGTACATTTTATTTTTTTAAGTCTCGAATGAACCTCCGTTTTATCTTTTTTACTTTTACTATATTCTTTAAATAAATCAATTATATTATCACTTGGTGTTTTACTAAACTCCTTTAATACATCCATTTTATTCGTTTCAAATGATTTTCGATTTGCCGAAACTCTTCCTCCTTTAATGGATTGTCTGATAAAATATCTTATAAAAGGGTGTGTATGTGAGTAAATTTTTTCTACGTTTTCTTTTTCGGTTGTGTGTTTCGGAACCATTCTAGTAGTTTCATACCATTCTACTTCAACCATTTCTTTATGGTAATGATACAAATAATACCAACCCTTTAAAGATAAAGAAGGAGCCGTTAGATTATTGGAAATATTCTGAAATACAACTTCTTTCATAACTTTGTTATATTTTATCAAACAAGCTCCGAGACATGACGTATCTGTTTTAGCGTAAGGTTCCCATTCGTGTCTTAAAGATTCCCAATTAAAATATCGGTGTATTTTGCAATATTAATATCGGTGATCTTTCTCAAATTCATAGGTAGATTAAATGAATTTCCCCATGCCGCCAAACTAGATTTTTCATGTTGATAGGAACATATGAAATTAATATTTTGCAGATAATTAGAGTTGCCCATTATTTGTTTTTGTCTTTTCCATTTTTTCTGTAAATATTCATGTGAATGAATTAGTTAAAGGTAGAGACAGAATGGCTGTCATTATCATCTTTACAAGTTCTACATACGTTTTCATCGTCATTATCTTCTATTTCTGTAATGCCTAAGGTTTTGTTATTTCTTTTAATGAGACAGAAATGCGATTTATGTAAGTAAAATACCCAATCTGATTCCTCGGATACTTTCTTTTGTTGAAAATGTCTATGTTTGGGCATATATGATTTTGAAAAACTGTTGATGAAATCATGAAATTCTTTTGTGTAGTCTTCGTTTTGAAATTGTTTCTACGTAAAATGATTTTTCCTGAGAAATACCAATCAGAAGCATCCGATTTTACATCCACAGTTGCGAAGAAATTGCAAAAAGTTTTGGCATTAAAGCCTACAAATTCCATTTTTTGTTTGTGTTCTCCATCTTGAATTATCTCTCCATCTAACTCAATTTGTCCTTTAAATGTATCAAATTTATCAGAGATAAGATTAATAATACTGAAAAAAAGTTCATTTGATTTAAATGTTTCATCGTCTAAAATTTCAATTTTATTCATATTTTTAACTATTTTTAACTAGGAATTTTTAACTTTTATTGATGATATTTCTACATCAAATTTATCTAAAATTTCATTGAATTTTTCTAATTCTTCAATGGTTATGTTCTTATCTTCTCTCGATCTTTCGAAAAAAATGAATAATTTATTAAGATATGTATTAAAATTTCTGTTTTCTTTTTATAATGAGCTTTCTGTTTTGATGTAAAACCTGAAGTAATCAATCCACAAGATGAAGTTTGAACGGCAGTGAACGCGGTTAATACAGTTGGGACAATTATTGGAAGCATTAATCCACCGGTTACGGCTGTTGCCACCGTTATCCCTACTGTTAGAACTGTGCTTAATGTTTTGAAAACAGAATCAATTCTACTCCATTTTTTCTACATTTGTTGAAGTGTTTTAGTTTTTCTTTTAGTTCATTTTGTTTTTCTGTCATGTAGTTTTGTCTGCTTTCTAGTTCCATTTTTTAGGTAAGTAAATTAAGTGAACTTCTGATAAAGCAAAAGATGGAAAGTGTTTAACATCTATAATAGGTTTCCCAATAAGATCTCCATTCTTTATTTTTTCATTATCTGTCATAATTATTTCAGGTTTAATACCAAAAACTTTTACTGATACTAACGACATTTGTTCTTTCGAATCATTAATCTTATTCAGATGAACTGAAAATTTGGGTTTTTCGATATCGATTGTTATTATACATCTACAGGTATATATACCTCTAACTTCTGTTCCCTCATTACGTTCAATTATTGATGAAAATATTATAAATTGTTTTTACCTTGATGACTTTTATGAATATCGATAGAGGTAAATAAATCAGTTGGATAGATAATTCCGTCTTCATATGAAAAGCTATTATTAACAAAAGTCTGTCGTTTGTAAAAAGTCATAACTACTTACTTCTTTTTCTCCTTCTGGATTTCTAATAATAATCTTCTTCATTATCTGGTGTGATCAACAATGAAATGTAGGGTGTTTAGGTCTTTTTTAGTGTAAGAATTTATGAAATGTAGGGTGTTTAGGTCTTTTTTGGGGCCTTTCAATTTGGTCGCACTTTCCCCATGAAATGAAATGGAATGGGGAATCCCCGTGCGACCAAATTGAAAGGTCCCATACTACTATCATCATCTTTTATTGTTGGTATCAAAACATTTTGTTTTTGTTGACTTTTATGAATATCAATTGAGGTAAATATATCGTTATTAACAAAATATAGTTTTAAGTATTCATAGTCTGATGATCGTAAAAACTCATAACTGCTTGCTTCTTTTTGTGGTTCTGGATTTCTAATAATACTTACTGATGGTGGAGTTTCCGTTTCCAATATCATTTGAAATTCACTAAATGAAAGATTATTATCTTCTTTATCTGGAATGATCAACATTCTAAACCTATCTATATATTTTCCACTCGTTTTAATTTCATATCAGTGATCATTCTTGCCGTTTTCGTCGTTAATTTCTAATTCTTTAGTTTCTACATTTTCTGTACCATTGATAAACTGGAGAACTTTGCGAGCGTTAAATTGAGAATTAGATGAAAATCCTGATTTTTGTCTCAAGAATATTGAATCAACTTTTACCTGCAAAGGAAAAATAATTTCAATTATAAGTTTTCCTTTGAAAATAAAAGTAGAATAATCACCAAGAAACATTTTAAGGGGATTATCATTTTTTTGTTTATATACTCATATATTTGCTGTAAATCCATATATATTTTTATATTCATACTCTTTTGATCTATCAATATTATCAGTAATAGAAGCATCACTAAGACTCAAATTTCCAAATGGAAGACTAAAATAATATGATTTATTTTCTTTCTTGAGATACTTTTCTAATGCGACTATATTTTTGTCCTTTTTTTAAAACTAGGTTATTAATAGTGGTTATCTAATGTTGAATAACACTATCATCAATGTTCTGTATTTGTTGTTGAATATAGGTTTTGATTTCGCTATCATCTATGTTTTGTATTTGTTGTTGAATATAGGTTTTGATTTCGCTATCATCTATGTTTTGTATTTGTTGTTTAATATTTCTTAGTTCTTTTTGTAATTCACTGTTAAGTTTAGTTTCCAGAGCATTTAATTCCTGTTCAAACGCACCTTCATTTTCACCTGGAATGTTATCTATTAATTGTTGAATGTCTAATTTTTGTTTTGCAATCTTATCCTCTGATTTAGATATTAATGAAATAAAATTTTGTAACTCAGTTTTATTCGTTACGTCGACTAATTGTTCTTGAATAAAACTTATTAAACATTTTACCTCTTGTTGAAGTTTAGTATCATTAATAACATTTTTATTATTTAGTTGACGTTTGAAGAATCTTTTCTCATTACTTATTTTATCTTCTAAATGTTTTTATTTACTTCAATTGAATTTATTTGTTCCCGTAAATATTTCTTGTGAACAGCGTCATTATCGTTTTCCGGAGACTTTCGCCCATCTCATAAGTTGAAAATTTGTGGTTGTATCGGTTCCATATTTATCGAGAAAGATATTCATTTTTAGAAGTCGGTTTTTTGAAGTTCGTTATGATAAAACCTACCTATGATTTGTTCTTTGTCTTGATTGATTAATTCATATATCGGAGGTGATGTGGTGTTTACTTTATCAACGATGAATATTTCGTTTGTCCAGTATCCAACGTAACCTTTTTTGAATTTACTTTTATATTTGAAAATACGAACTCGATCTCCGACTTTAAATTTGGGTTTAATATTCAAATTCTTTATTTCATTTTCGTAGTTATGTTGTGCGTTAATTGACCTTATAATATTTTGATTATTTGAGGCTTGTGTCGGTGTGACACCTATAAATGAATGAATTTTGTTATTGTATTCATCTACAACCTCTGGTAATATTTTAAGCCATTTTTGGGATTTCAATTCCGTGAACTTTTTGAATAATTTATTTTTTAGAGTTCTGTTATATCTCTCAATAACTACAGCTTTACCTTCATTATGCGTGCTGTAAATTTCAAATCCCAGAGATTTCATGTTTATATTATAAAATTCACTTCCTTTATCTACCCATAGTTTTTCTGGATGTCGGTTAGATTGTTTCATAATCGTTTCAAATGCGTGTTTTGTTTTTCAAAGGACTAACCCATGCATATCTCGTATACAAATCTATAACTGTTAAGCAATATTTATATCCTCTTTCGACTGGCATATTAATTAAATCGGCTGACCATATTCCATCTTTTTCAAATACTTTAACTTTTAAAAAGTTTTTAGTTTTTCTAAATTCTTTATGAATTTCATCCGCTAATCCCATGCTCAATGTCATCTTTGCTTTTAACAGTTTTATGATCATAGCCCTTTGCATTCTCTCTTTGAAAGTTGGATTTGGAATATTTTCAACTTTAAAACCTTTTACTTTCCTTTCTTCTAATCTCCTGTTTCGCAGATCTCTTATTAGTTATAATTCTTTCAACTCCTTAGATTGTTTCACTGTGTCGCTTAAACTCTTTCCCGCTTGCGCGATTGAGCCGATGGATTTCGCCCCGGATGAAATGAGTGATTTGTTGTTTGAAACAAAGCTAGCTACTTTTGGAATTATTGGTAATGAAGAAAAGAATCCGTCGCCCGAACAATCTTCGAATTTGTGTTGTTCGTGTTTTAGAATTAAACTCATCCTATTTTTAAATGCGTTAATTTAACGAAGAAATTTTGGTCTGTTTTTTTTTCGAAAAAAAGAGTTATCTCCCGTCTACTAAAAATAACATT